TAGTTACTCATCAATGTATTTGATTTTTCCAAGCCCGTTCCCTTGGCTGTGGTTTCGCTAGATAGTAGATAGGGACAGTGGGAATCTCGTTAATCCACTTTTTGTGCTCACCGTGGGTATCGAAACTCGATTTTTAGCGTTATAAGCCCTCAAACTAATCAGTGAGCCAGCGGGTCGGAGGGACCAAATCTTGAATAGACTCTTGTAATAATTAAGTTCCTACTAGTAAAACATGTTAAGAATAATAAACGTATATAAATATAATTTTGAATATATTACTCTAACATCCATGACGCTGAAAAATATGTTGGAAAAAATTAAAACCCCAAGAAACTATAATAAAATATATTAAAAAAACCGTTGTATGATCACTAAACCTATAACCTCTTTACTTTTAATATGTGTTTTATAAGAAGTATAAAACTTTAATACAATAAAAGAATGTTTACAAGATAAAGATAAATAATATTTTTAGAACAAAGCGCTTTAAAATAATAAATACCAACGTAGTAATTTTTAAAGTATATTACAATAATCGTAAAAGATTAAATATAGATACACTGATTTTGAATAGAATGTTATAAGAATTATAAATCTATACTCATATTCACATATAACGTTTGAAAAACCATAATCGTATAACCTAATTACTTTTGTATCAGGAAAAATAAAACTATAATCTACTTTTTCCAAAATGTATTTGATTATCATAGATTATTAATATTTGTAATTTGTAGCTGTTTGTTTGTTTTTAATTATGCACAAAGCTAAACAAGGGCTATCTGTGCTCTGCCCACCACGGGTATCGAAACCCGGTTTCTAGCGTTGTAAGTCCGCAGACATACCGCTGTGCCACTGGGGGGCAATTTATAGCTGACTTTTGTGAGAACCACAAACTATTACTCACCAGCTCATTATTTTCATATTACGGAGTAGACCCCTTAGATATACCCTTTTTAAATAATCCGTGCATTAGATTAAATGTACAATTAATCCATTCTTAATCTGATTATTTTGGAAGTAAACATGTAAAACTAAACATAGCAATATTTTAGTTACTATGTATAAATCTAACTGCGTATAGTAGTCTCTAATTATTAAAATGATAAATCCGTAACAGACTTATTAATGCGAATATAGTACAAGAACATAAAAAATCACTTGATGATATTTCTCAGGAGTATAAATTCATACTTCGTTCTCTCTGAAAAGTAAACCAAAGGTATATATTTACTCTTTAATGTCCTCACTAGGAATATAAAGATTGAAGTCAGAAAAAAGAATCTGTATTCTTTCTCTCCCTCTGGCGGTGAAGTGGTAAACACAGTGAAAGTTGGCAGGGTAAGGCTTTGGGTAGCCTGGGGTTGTGAAAGAGTCATTCTTCGAAGTGTCGCTTTTAATCCACTGCTGACAAGGCGGAACTGTTGGACGAAAAAAAAATGGCACCTAAAACACATGTAGCTGGTAAGCTAAGAAATATAAATAATTAAGTTATTATATATATTTAACATGTGCAGATTGAAATTTACTAATCAACAAATTTTAACAAATGTCTGTAGTTCACAATTAAAAGTACAATTTCCATTCCTTTGTTTTTGTAATTCAACATCAAATGTTTTTTGTTTTTTTTGCAGAATAATAAAAAACGGATCAAGTAGAGGAATACGGCAAAACTATGCATGATAATTCATGCCAAAAAATACAAAATGATGTATTATAGTCGATAGAATAACCGTATAAACGTATATATCTAATTTATATAGCTAAGTTTGTGACTGTTGGTTCACACCTTTCAGCCATCTGTTCTTTATACGTTTCCACATTTCTTGATCGCTCAGCACCAGACTTGACACAGTGTTATAGGATGACACGAGAAAGACCAAAAAAAGGTGTGGGGGTTGGACTCCCCATCTTCTATATAAATAAACGTCAACATGTGTGTGTATCTATTCACTATATGTTTCCAACTTTCTTGATCAATCAAAACCCAATTTGACATAGTTATACAGGATGACATGAGTAAAGTCATGAGGGGGGTTAGACCCCTCTCTAATTTCATGTCTCAATTCGGAAAAACTAGCAAATCAGCACAATTTGACACAGTGATACAGGATAACATGAGGAATATCATGAGAGGGGTTGGAACCTCCATCTAATTTCATATTGATAGAATTCTTGTAAACAGTATGTATTTATTTTTCAGTATTGGTAACTTTATGTATCTTTATTGCACTTTTAATGTTTATTACGTTAAGAAAAAAAAACTAGAAGCACAATTTCCTATCCTTTGTTACAAACTGGTTTTAATTTTACCCGTCCACTTAGTAGATATATATAAAATTAAAAAAGACGTCCACTGGTCTCTTTACACACTTTGATAGCTTTATCCCGTTTATGTATAAACGAAACCCTGTTACATGCTTACTAAACAGAGCTTACAACCTGTGCTCCACATATCTTAATCTACACTCTGAAATTTCGTTCTTACATGACATCCTGAAACGTAACTGCTATCCACAACACTTATTAGAAAACATTACCAACACCTTCCTAACAAAGAAACTCACAAATCCAATTAAGATACCAACTGTACCTAAACTTACTATATACTCGTGTCTTCCTTATACTGGCAAACAAAGTTTAAATTTAAAAAAATCAACTTAAACGCTATTCCGTCA